CCTCCGTTCGACCATCCGAAAAGGAGGTACCTGGACCCTGTGGGACATATGTGACATATGACATATATGGACACCCCTGGGAAGGTCTAGGTAGCTGAATCAAGTATCCTTCAAGAACCTTGAGGCCATGAGTTGCTTTTCTCCTCAGTTTGGTCACCTCAAGAGTCGCCCCACTCGGTCGCCGTTATCACCCAGGGGCCCCATTTTGGCCGGGCTCGGCAGTACCTGGACCCGACGAGTTGCCCTTCGTACTCGAGAGTTGGACATGACCTGAACAAAAACAATCGGTACGACTGGGGCCCCAGTTGCTAAGATACGTTGAGGCTCCAGGTACCTTCCAAGAAAGTGTTTCGGGTGGGTTTAGAGGGTCCAGTCATACCGTACCTGAGGAGGTACGACTGGAGCCCTATACAAATCTTCATAGCATCACAGGCCGCAATCAAACAAGCAAAGATCAATCAACACTTCCCTGCATGAGGTTCCAAACCACCTCCTCCAAGACTGTCCATATCTGCCCATACCTGGGCTCTAATAAGCCTAGTAGTGGTGGGTAGTTTGTAGAAGTGCAGATTCGGCCTTTGTCTTGTGCAAAGGGTTTGCATTCACCCAGACACTCCAAACAGCCCTTGGTCCCTGAAAATCGACAAATCATGAGACCCATACCCCAGACCACCTCTATAGGTTCGGGTCCAGGTCGCAAAAGCCCTGCTGGCACGTGATTTCATCCATCTTCATCCATCGGCCGCAGGCGAGAGAAGCCCTGCTGGCTGAGAACTACGGGGTCCTGCGGGAGATGCTGCGCCTGGTCTTGGAGGCGCGTTGGAAGCGGTGGCGCCATGGCGAGGCCAGAACAAATAGACATAGAAAGAGGTCGTTTGTCAGAATCCCGATTTCTCTAGCAGGCCATTGAATCTGTTGGGGCTTGGTTTGAAAGTCATTTGATTCGGAAATTGGACATGGTTTTTGTTTGAGTCAACTTCTTCATGTTCTCAATCTCTTGTATAGCTGGCCTCCCAGTAGGGCCGACGTCAAGTGCCAAGGCGCCGTGGCCTTTACAATTCATGACACTGTTCATATTGAATGTTTTGATGTTGGATAGTGTCATGACTGGATGTGAACACTGGATCGCACACATGATGTACACAATGTCTTGATGATAGTTTCACACTGGATCGCACTCGACTGGACATGCAGTCGAGGCTTTCAGTGCTTCGAGGCTTGGGACCCCTGGAACCTTTCACTGCTTCAGGTTCGGTGGTTAGACCCCCATGGCACCCACCCCAACCATCTTCGAAACGGAGGTAGTTGGAGCCCTACCCTAGGAATCCAAGTGCATCCTCAAAAGGTACTCGGACCCTCCAAACCCACCCCAAGCACCTTCTCAGAGGGTACTTGGATCCTTAGGGCTAGGGTATAATAGTCTTCCAAGGGTCGGAGGGCCATGGAATCCCATTGAAAACACCTCGCGACCGTGCACCGTTTCTCGACGTACGGACGGGGCTTGGATGGATCGTGAGAGCACAGCGACTGGCGTCCAGCATCTTTAAGCAAACAGCTTTGCATATATATATATATTTATATATCGATTGCAATGCTTTTTACTCCTGCCAGGTGGCCGGTGTTTGTCTTTCTGATTGTGTCAAGTCGAAGGCGGAGATCCACCCAGATCGAGCCCATGTTTGGTGGGTTTCGATCTTAGCAGAATCCCTTTGGACCCGCCCGCAGAACACGCCAGGAGGGCGAGGGTCCCACCGAGGACCTAGCGGAGGCCCTTCGGACCCAGGGGACTCGTTGGAACCGAGTCGGACGGGGAGAGACCGGGGAGAGACCGGGGAGACGGCAGGTTCGGTCTGGAAAACGTCCGGGAGATGTCAGATCGCCAGACCTGGGCATGTTGTGACAGATCTTATAGTTGTTTCCAGGAATTTCTGGGTTGGGGGGGGCAGATTTGGGTGAGTGTGAAGAGGTTTTGGGGTTTGCGTGCATCTTCCATGTACTATACGTACATATAATACCTACTATATCGTACCATTATACGTACTATACCAAAACTGGTGCCTCAAAGATGAGTGAATGCAAGCTTCCGGTGTCCTGTGAAATCTTGGTCTCCTATAGTTACAGGGTCATTTCACCTGCTCTTGGCACCCCCACTGCCAGGCTCAGGGGTCACTCCCTTCATGCTTTCGAGGTGATCTAGATTTGGAGATCCAGCAAAGTAGACCTACAGAGGTTACCTATAGGATAGTCTATAGGGTTCTTCAACCTCTGCTGGGAGGGTTGGCAGCGGGTGTGGGTCCTGACCTCGGGCGTTATGAACCATGGACACCATAGACACGGGTCAACGCTTGTTCATATCAGACGAACAGTCTATGAGGAACCTTTGTTGGACACGGTCATGCCGGCCCGCCCGGATTTCACCCTGTAGAGTCGCCTGGCACCACAGGGGAAGGCACCCCAGTTGGCTCCGCGCCCCGCGCGCTCCGCAGTTGGCGACGTCCGTGCTGCGACATTGTCCCGCCAGCTGCGGACAGGTGGAAGGCACGCGCGGGGGTCGTGTTCGGCCCCTGGTCGAAGTGTTCGGCCCCTGGTCGAAGTTCGGTCGAAGCAGGCAGCTGTGGGTGCTGCAAGAAGGCAGCTGTAGCAAGCAGCTGTGTGCTAAGCAGTTGACAGTGACAGGAGGAAAAGATTATGGGAACACATGGGGACCTTGGAAAAAGACCACCTTTAGGATTACAAGTTGTTTAGACTCTTAAATACCTAGCTTTAACTTTCTGACATTGAAGCTGCTGGGATCTCTCGGGACAATACCTAGACCCCTCCAGTTCGTACCTTACATGACATCATGACCCGAAGAATGGACCAAGAACCCCACCAAGGCTGGGGCCCCATAGACTCGACTGGAATCGGAGTGGATTGGTCTAATAAGGCAAAAAAAGGACAGAGGAGGGCGCAAGCGATAGATATCTCTGAACCAGCCAGCATATGCAAGTAATTAGCAAGCATGGTTCCCCACCCAGTGTTTTTTTGAAGGCCTCAAAAATAGATAGAACAGTAGATCCCGGATCCCCACTCAGAAACCCAGACCTTCCTTTCTATACCTTGTAATTGTGCCATCGAACCTTCCACACAGCATCGTCGCTATAGAATACATTCTCAATGCTTCTTGCAATTTTTGAGATAACTATGATAACACTGAGATTAATTTCACTTTCTAAACGGTCCATCTCGTGTCAAGCCATCCGGACACATGGCTATGATATTTCCATCCACGTCCACTTCCGGATGTTTTCATTAATAATACCCCATTTCAGGAGGGTGTATTACAGACATATGTACAGGCATACATGATGACACCCGTGTCAGCGAGATCCCCCCCTGCATGCAAGACGTCGTACCTCCTCCAGACTGGGAGACGGACGTGCCCGGCAGCGTCGCGCAGGTGGCGGTTTCAACGTCTTTGCCATGGCCATTGCCTTGCTACGGCGCTTGCAACCCAAGGAGGTGAGATCAACTCAGCAGCGAGCTCGATCGAAGGGGATCGACCGCGTCATCGGTGCGGTGGAATGGGAATGGGATGGCTTTGATGGGATGAGGGGGGGAATCAGCGATGGATATGAATGATGGTAATGGATACATGTGTGTAATCATTTGATATAATGATTATACATCGATCTAATTATAGAAATTGTGTACGGATCGTTATTTGACAGGTATGGATCTCAGTTCCAAACATACTTGCAATCTCTGAGTCTATGAGTATAAAAATCATACAGCAGTACGATACGTTCATCCAAATATGAGTGTAACAAGCAGACGGAAATTACATCAACTGTACTGGTTTGCGAGAGTCTCCCAACTTAAACAGTTTTTTTTGATGGGTCTACACTGAAAATGTTTCGACGGGATGTGCACTATTCTGGGGGCTGTTGTTCTATGTTGTTCTGGTGTTTTTGCTTGGCATCAGCATCTCCTATCTCTCCCTAATGACATGCGTCAAGGTGAACCAACATGAACCAACTACTGTATACACTCTGACAAACATCACATGAGGATTGGACTAAATCCATGGTTGGGGTCAGGTCCCTCCTGGTTGGTTCAGAATGAAAAGAGGTTCTGCGTTCTTGCCATCTCTCATCCGATGTTTGTCCCTCGGTCGCCAGTGTTTCGTTTGTCCATCACGTCATATACTTGTCTGTCCGTTCTTACCTGTTAACAGTCAGTAAGCAATGTTCACTACTTTAGAGATGTCGGCCTGCAACGAGGCCCCATCATCATCCACTGGTAGTAGGAGTAGTAGTATCTTCCTCCCCAGGGGGAAGGTGTTGCACACCCGAGCACGGGGTCTGCAACAAGGTCATGACGGTGGATTGTAGCTGCGACAATCCCTTAAAAGTGGCATCCAAAAGATACCAATGAAGTAGAACCGGGAAAAGCCCGACGACAAGCCAATGATGACGCACAATCAAAGCACGTTTTCCAACTGGCCAAACCAGGAGTACCCAGGGGATCCGCCATCCACACCGGAAAGTGCACAAGGATGCACAAGGCAAAACATGGGAAGAACCACAACACTGTACCAAGGCGTGAAAGACGGAGTCCATGATTCAAATATTTGCCTGTGTGTAGAGCAAAGGGAAGCAACAAGCCTAGGGGAGGCTGACAGAAGAATGGCTGTAGACCTCGCGCGGCTCCACAATTGCAAAGGGAGACCCTACAAAAGAGGCTTCAATGAAAATAGAGATCTCCGACTTGAACAACGAAGGTATAAATGAAGATGGTCTGTGTAGAAGTCCAAGCAAAGCAAATGCCAACGCTGTAGGAGAGCAACTGGAAGTCGTAGAGATCGAAGGACCTGATCCTGTACAAAATGCAAAGGCCATGCAAACAAAATTGTGCTCATAAAGAGCATTTGTAGCACCTGCGGTTGGTCATGGGACCATTAGGCAAGGGTCGTTCCGTAGAGCCCCAGAAAAGGCAAGAATTTGCCGCCATCAGCAAAATCAGTGAAGATACGATCAGCTATAGCGGGTTCCGTGCCCGCCGATGCACGAAGATCAGCAAGTGAAGTGAAGAAATTGCCGCCAACTGCAGATACCCTCAGAAAATAATAGCAACAGCCATAAAGAGCAGCTGCCTGGTTTGCCCCCAGGATGCAAAGAAGGCGCATCAACAAGTCTTCAGGGCGAAGCACAAAATTACCAGAAAGGAGGTCAAAAAGCATGCACCAGTCAAGTAGTCGGAGATCTGGCCAAACCGGGCTGGCAGGTCGTTCCATAGTAAAGCTGAGGGAATCACGACAAGAAAAGCCAGTGGGACCACATACTTGGCCAAAACGATGCACACGACTGGGACCACATCGATGCCGACTGGGTCAAAGAAGTGAGTCTCCTGTCCAGCAACTGCCTGGTTTGCCAGCAGGACACAAGAGAATGCAACAGCAGTAAGACCGAAGATAAGACTCGCTCTGTACAGCGACCACAGGCATCGCAAAAATAAACGGGGCCACTGCCCCACCAGCTGACTGGCGTCACAGAGGTCTCAAAGGCACGATGGAATGTGCACCTGACAACTCCTGGCGGCATCGTCAGTGGCAACAGACTCCTCCGACGAGAAGGTGATGCCAGCCATGCCCTTCTCCACTGGTAGTAGGAGATAGACCCAACACATACTCTTATTCAACACCCCAGCGTGGCTCCCCGTCTCTCCCGTCGCACGAGACGACGTTCGAGCAGCCGATGCAGCAGGAGATTCAACTCTTCCTCCTTCAACTCCTGGATGATTGCCGCTACAGTTGCCAGGCCGACACTGTGCGACATAAGCGGAAGAAGGTCGAACCAAGAGCTGGTATAGGCGAGGTGATGTGGTTTACAGCTCTAAATAGTAGGGCTGGAAGTTACCTCTCCTCATATGTTTATTGTATCAGTTTCCAGGTTGTATAGTTGCTCTTTATAAGCCAAGGTTGATGTGGAAGTTGTTCACAAAAAAAACAGAGATTGAGTGAAGATTCGGAGTGGAGTGAAGCCACGGATGAACAACTCCTACATTCCATCACATGTCATACATAGGAAAAAAACCAATCAGACAAAATCTACCGTATTTATTTATGTTGTCCTTTAATTAATAAAGTGGTAGGCAGTGTTTGATGAGTACAATCGCACATGAACAGATGCATTGTCGGATTGGGCAATCTCTTTGAAAGGCCCGGAAGAGCGTGGCTGCTGAGCTGAAAGCGAAGAGGATGAAAGCCTTGTACGTGCGGATCCCCAGGCCCCAGTCCTTTGCACTTCCTGCAGTGGTAGGTAATACTGTACGTACCCACCACCGTTCAACACAATGTCGTAAGAAGGGCAAATCACAGCTAATTACCAAAGCATGGCTTGTTTGAAGCTTTGACATAATATTGGTTGGAGATGTACACTCCAAGCTGCGAGTTATTTGCAGCTCACTTGCCATTTCTTTTGGACTGATGAGATCTGGCGGGACTCTGCAAAGGTCACGAGTCACCAAGCAGCTGGTGGTGTTGTCGCATGGACGGACGTTGGCAGGATTATCTAAACATTGATCTATCTTTGGTCCCCAAAGCTTTGATTGTGAACCCAAGGTGAACGGGCAAGGAAATGCAGAAAAGCGGTAGTCCTTAGATGTTTTCTGGTGATGCAAATTCCACAGTAAGAAACAGGTATTTTTTGGAGCAACCCATTCTGCTGTGTACTCTGCTGTGCCCATGTGGTTTGGAGGTCGTGCTGTGTGCCTTTTGGTGAGTTTTTTAATGATACGGCGACCACCGAGAAACATGTACCACCTTCAAAAGGGGTCACCAATGGAAGTCCCGGAAGCCCCTACACTACTTAGTGGTCTCCAGTGGGTTGGACGCCCCTTGCAGGTCCTGGTATGTCTTTTTTTTCTTGAGCAACTTAGTATGATATCTATAGGCCAGGAGCCCCTAGTAGCGTCCTTGCTCCTAGTAGCAATTGCGCAAAGAATAAACTATTGTCAATTGTCACTCAATTGACTACCATTAACGACAGCAGTACTGCAACAAATCACCACAGGAAAGCAGTATTACAGCCGCGAATGACAAATAAATGATCAACAAATGACAAACAAATCACCAAACACTTTGCAAACAACGACAAAACCAAATGACAAAAACACTACAAATAAATGGCACCACCAAATCGCACCCCACTTTGAGATGACAAACCAAACAACAAATAAATGACACAGCCAAATAACACCCAGATTTAAAGCGACAATCAAAACAACATCAGCAAATGACTGGGAAACAACAAAGTATTGTTTTTAAGGTTTCCAGTGTATGGCTCCCCAAGTTTCTTCTAATAGTAGGAGTTCAAGTAGGCGAATGACGTGTCGGTCGTTTGATATCTTTTAGCCGTGCCCGGGCCGTGCCCCATCCTATCGGTGCCCCATCCTCAGGTCATCGAAGCAGCTTTGAGCACCTTCTGCGGACCTGAGGGATTTGACCTAGGCCGCTGGGTCCAAAGGGGGGGGACGGCACCGTGCCAATGCAGCTTGAGGCACCAATGCAGCTTCTTTGGCCAGCTTGAAGGGTATGGTTCACTGTGCCAAAAAAACACCGACACGAAACCATCCTGTCTGGGTGTCCAATAATAGA